TGATGCTAATGTTAGCTAAATAGTAGACAGGGAATATTATTGATGCTAATGTTAGCTAAATAATAGGCAGGGAATATTATTGATGCTAATGTTAGCTAAATAATAGGCAGGGAATATTATTGATGCTAATGTTAGCTATATAGTAGGCAGGGAATGTTATTGATGCTCAGTGTGGGAACCCGGCTCACCCATTTTCCTTTCCCCTGAAGGAATGGGGACCCAGCTGCCCTCATCCCTTCCTGGGGGCCTTCAAGCTGCAGCACGACATGTCCTGGACCCCGATGGAGCAGGTGGAGAAGAGGGAGGCAGAGATTGCCATCATGGACAAACTGCTGCGCCAGCAGACAGCCTTACCTCCGTACACCCAACTTCAAAGGTCTGAGTGAATGAAGGCTGCTGAACGGACCAATCAACGATCGGTTTACTGGACATCTCAGTCCACACTGGGCCAGACACTGCTTTCTTCTGCTGCTGCTGCTATGCAGCCTAATGGCCTCGTTAAAGTCTGTCTTAGAAATCACTATCAGCATTTTTACTGTTCTGAAAGATGGATGGTCCTGATAAAACCCAGCGGATCAGAACCAGCAGACGAATCCCAACCACCTCTGGACCTGCAGCTCAGAGGTTCCTCAGGGGCTCCAGGAAAAATCACATTTTCTCACCTTCAATAAAATGATTTATTTTAATGTTTGAGACCTAATTTTCTATTTGATGGATGATTAATAAAACAGAGAACAAACTGACAACACATTTATTTATAGTTTAGTTCTATTAAGACCTAAAGCTTATAGAAAAGCAACATCAAGCTTTTCTACATGAGTCTGATGAAGCAGTCGGTCCAGTCGAAAATCTGCTGCATCTTCAATGGACAAACAGGCAGGTGGTAGCAAAGCTGCTGGAGAAACAAGAGGTCTCACTCTGACATGAACTGTGTCTCTGCTGCATTTCTGGGTCCTTTGTTCAGAGATTTTCACACAGTCCAGTTAGAGTAGAAATACTTAGGAGAATAAAAAGTAGAGCTAGAAGGTCTCCATTAAACACATGAAAAATTCACCATTTAGGATGAAATCAAACTATACAGTTTAAAGTTCTTAAATATTAGTTTTTATCCCAGAGGATAAATTAGGTAAGTGTGAAGAATACGGCTTCTGCTCTACATCTGAACATCTGCTCCAACAGCAGAGTAGATTTCCTCTTTTCATTGATTCTGATCAGAATCGTCTAAAATATTTCGCTGTCTGACCGAATCACTGGAACCGAGACAAGAGGGAAAAAAAGACGCTTCCTGAGCTTTAATCTCTGAACCAGTTGGACCAGAAACGCTCTATGACCGGTGTTCTGGTTCTGATCCCAGCTGTCTGATGGCGGCTGTAGAGGTGACCTCCAGCAGGTAATCATTGATGTGAGGCAGCAGCTGGCGGTCGTCGGTGGCCATCTTAAACAGCGTGGCATCGTCCTCCCTGCTGATCTTCAGCAGCACGTGAGAGCGTGGTGGAAGGAACCAGAGGACCCTGAAGCCGTCCTCCAGGGACGAGTCGGACAGCAGGAAGGGCAGGAAGTGTGTCTGCAGCAGCGCTTTGAGGTGGGCCTCCCCCAGCTGGCAGCAGAACAGACTGACGGCCCAGACCCCCGCCTCAGACTCCGCCTCCTCCCACAGCGCCTCAAACACCGCCACTCTGCTGGCTCTGCTCCAGGTGGAGGGAACAGGAAGAGGCAGGAAGGTCTGCTGGAAGGCCACGTGGAGGTCCGGCATGTCGGAGTGCCAGGTGAGGCCGTCCTTGGCGGTGAAGATGGCTGCGACCCGGATGGTGGTGGGATGCGGCCGTCTGGGCTGCAGGGTCAGAGTCAGCTCCGGCGGCGGTCTCTGTCTGTGCAGGAGGGGGACGCTGGCGTCCGGCAGCGGGTGGTAGTGGTGGTCGGTGAGGCGGAAGTGGAGGCGGATGCTGAAGAGCTGCTCAAAGAGCGGCTGGTGGGGCTCCATGAGGGTCAGCCGGTACCTCAGAGGGACCAGAGAGGCAAAGCCGGTTTGGCTGAACTGGGACCTGTAACGCTGCAGAGCTCCGTCTCCCACATCTTCATCAGCATCCGCCTCCTGCAGCGGCCCGGGCCCAGCCTCCGTCAGCCGCAGGACAGCTCGGTCCGTCTGGTGGACGCTCAGCGCGTTGGTGAGCCCCTCGCTCTCCGCCATGACGCAGGACAGCGCTCGCTTCTTGACCTGACCCTCCGCCGCCCCCTGCAGCACCGCACTAAGCTTCTCTCTGGACAGCGTGGTGAGGAGGCTGAAGTAGAGGCGGGCGTGGTCCTGGATGTCGCTGTCGCCATAGTTACAGGCGAGGTGCAACAGAACGTCAGCCAGAGGACCAAACAGAGAGTCCAGGCTGGGATGTAGCAGCACACGGCGGCAGACGCCCAGCACGCCGTTACCCAGGCACCAGTTGCTGCCACTGCACAGCAGGGAGGAAGTAAAGACGGCGGACAGGAAGCGCAGGGTGCTGCACGGCGAGATGTTCCCTTCCTCTGCCGCCCGGGACAGAACCTTAAGGTGGCAGCTAAGGTCTGGGAGGGTGAGCTGGCCCCCGGGGGCCCCAGTTATGGCTCTCTGGAGGCCCTGCAGGAGCCCCACTGCCCAGTCAGACTCTGGCAAGTGGTCTTGTGTCCGGTCGGCCAGGTTGAGGATGTGCGGCGCCAGCAGGGGGTGCTGCAGGTAAAGCTGACACAGCTGCTGGCTTAGACGGGCCGAATAGCGCTCCACATGGTGGAAGTACAGCAGGAAGAGGAAGGCCGCCCTGAAGAAGGTCACCACTAGGTCTCTGCTGCCCCCCCTGTCCACCATGTGAAGCAGCGCCCCCAGGAGGTCATAAATATAGGCCAGCCCCCCGCCCCCCTCCTCCTCCCCGTCCTCCAGAAAGACCAGAGCCTGCAGGTGGAGTCGGGCCAGCAGGGTGGCGCTGTCGTTCAACACAGTAGGAAGCAAGATGGAGGCCAGCTGGGGGGTCAGCAGCACAGGAAGGGCCTCGTCGCTGTCCCCGCAGCTGATTGGACGGTTCTCTGGGAAATGCAGGATGCAGTCCATGTAGAAGAGCCTTTCTGACGCGCTGAGGACCGGATGCTGCGACAGAACCAGCAGCCGCTTCAGGAGGAAGGCTTCGTCTTCGGCGCTGAACAGGCTGTCGGTGAAGGCGCACTTCATTAGCAGGGTGACATGGAGGAGCGCCACCTGGTGGAGGAGACAGCAGAGACATGTCAGCCAGAAGCAGAGCAGACTGCTGAAGACCCTCTGATCAGGACCTTTCATTCAAAACAAACTGTAGTTAAAAGCCTTCAGCTGATCCAAAATGCTGCAGCCAGAGTTCTGATGAAAATGAAAAAGAGAGATCATATCTCTCCTATCCTGGCTTCT